CTTGTCCACAAATTGTAGTAATGTGATGGGCTTTCCTCGATGAAATTCCATATTCATCAAGAACGATCCCATTTGATCCATGTATCATTGTATTCTGGCCTTTATCTTTGGTCCACGAGAATTATTATGTTCTGTCAATCGATTTCACATCAACAAACTCGTAAGCCTTTCTTGTAGAGCCTTTTACACCCATCTTGAATGCTCCCAAGATCTTTTTGAACCTCTTAATTCGTCTCTTGACCCATAGTTCACGTAGAGATATAATATGAGTTTGAATTACGCCACGAGGGGTGAGCCACTATATGCATTACTCCTAAGCTTAGTGTGAAGTTCAATAAAGAAGTGGCATGGTACTTTTTTGCACAAAAAGGACTACGACAGGGGGATCCTTATCCCACATTCTATTTGCAGTGGCAATGGAAGTGTTTAGGTTCTTAATGGGAGTGGCAGTAGATGAGAACAAATTACCTTATCACTCAATGTGTAAAAGAGTGGGATTAACACATATAATGTTTGCATATGATCTTTTGGTTTCTCGGATGGCACTAATTATGGATTCCAATGCATTCAAAGAGTCCTAGAACATTTTAGGGTTATATTTGGTCTTGTCTCAAATCCTTCAAAGTGTGAAGTGTACTGTGGAGGGTTGCCTCATGAATGGAATATTAGAATGGCTAAGAGGGCTAGCTACAAACTAGATAGTTAAAACCTGTCGACCATTAATATATAGAAGGCTAATACCACTACAACACCCAAACTATCCAGAAAATGCCACTTGTGTCATATTGTTTCCAATATTCCATTCATGTCATGAACTATTATATTTTGTGTCATTTGTATCATGCCCATTTCGTTGACCGTTAAAGATAACAGTTGACCAAACGGTGGTCAACTTAACATTGACTTTTGCTTACGTGACAATGCCAAGTCATTGACACCTCACATTTTTAATTTAAATTAAATTAAATTTTGAAGATAAAAAATCGAGAAAACTTTAAATTCAAGAATTTTTTTAACATAAAATTACTATTATTTTAAAAGTAACAACAAAAAAAAGGATATTAATAATAAAATAAAATTGCTCTCTAACAACAATAAATTAATATTATTTTCATATTTGCTTTATCTAATATGAAAAAACAAAAATTGTTAAAAAAACAAATCAAGTAATCTGGAACCCTATCACCATCACTCCATCACCACCTATTACCTCTGCAAGAAATGCGTCGGGCAGATCATCATTGTCCCCTTCATCGTCGAGGTCGATCTCAACAAATTTGACCCATGGGAGCTTCTCGACAAGTGATTAGGTTAAGAAATTTGAGACTGTGAAAGAAAATCAAAGATCTTACAATTTTGAGTTTAAACCCTGTTTTTTATTTTTTGACAGAGATGCGCTGTACGTGTACGGTTTGAGAAAGATTGGCAGCGGCTAGGGATGGCAATGGGGCGGGTTTGGGGCGGGTTTGCTTAAACCATTCCCATACCCATCTTCAAATACCCAAACCCATACCCGCCCCATACCCATGCGGGGGAATGTTTTGCAAACCCATCCCCATACCCGTGGGTTTCGGGTACCCATGGGTAATACCCATACCCGTACATCCTACATTATTATACCTAAAACTTACAAGAAAAGTTCTAATTATAACTCTAAACGAACATATTATATCACGAAGTCAACAAAACACGGTCATTTTTTTAATATGGTTCAAAGATTATGATCCTAAAATATCCATTAATATATAATATAGAGTATAATATTTTTCAAATTATTATGTTCTAACTCTGATACATCTACTAAATAATAATTAACTAACATAATCTTGTTGACAAGGGGAAAGTGAGAGTAAAATGAGAATTGAGAGAAATGAATTAGATTTTGATTAAGGTGGTCACTCAATTGCATATCTACTATTTATTTTTTCAAGTTATCCTCATCATCATTAATAGATTATAATTTGATGCACATATTTTTTATATATATGAAGAAATTATCTTGGTGGGGCGGGTATGGGGATGGGTATGGGGCGGGGGAGGCTAAAACCATACCCGCCCCATACCCATCAAACTTTTTGCGGGTTTTACCCATACCTGCCCATACCCGATCAAAGCGGGGATTCCCCGCGTTGACTGGGTCGGGGGCGGTCGGATGCCCACGGTCATGGGTTTTATTGCCATCCCTAGCAGCGGCGGGGGATGAGGAGGACGTGACTGCATCTCAGCTTCACACTCATCTTCTTGCTTCCTGGCCGGCTCCTCCATATCTTTCTGCATCTGTTGGTGAGGTCAAATAGGAAGGGGTTTTTTAGATCTGGGGTAGAAGGGGTTGTGATATTGACAGATATGGAGATTTGGGGTTTTGTTTTGAGTTTCAAATTTGGGCAAGATTTGGGTTTGGTGAGAATGGATTTGGGAAGAAAAAGAACAGGTGAAAGGTTGTCTCTATTCTCTCGATTCCGTTTCTGTTCGTGGAATTCAGTTCGCATAAGGGTTCCGGTAAATGTGAGATTCTGGAGAGGGAGGAGGTTTTCTACGCCCAGAAACCAAAGACTGTGGAGATTAAAAGGCCGCTCTAGTTTTCTACGTCGGGAAAGCTCCGATAAGACGAATTGGATTGCCTCGCTAATGTGGATCGCTCCGCCGACAAGAAATCTGACTCAGGGTAAGCAATCTCTCTTCCCCCACCGCAACAACCTCTAGATCTGGAGAAGAGAAATAGGGTCGCCAGTGAATTGTCAATATGGAGAAGAGAATCGTCGATTTGAGTTATTGTTTTATTTTTGTAATTTTCCATTATTTTTATTTTGTTTTCCTTATTTTAATTATTTCAAATGGTAAATAAATGAAATTGATAATAAAAATTTCATGTCAGATGCCACGTCAACGCTGACCGGATTTTCTGTTAAATACTAATGGTCAACGTCGGTCAACACTAACAAAATAATAGTTCAGGACACAGATGGAATATTGAAAACAATAGAACACAAGTGGCATTTTCCGGATAGTTCGGATGTTGTAATGGTATTAGCCCTAGATAGAATAATGTGCAAAATACAGAGCCGAGGATCAAAGTTATTAAGTTATGCTGGAAAACTTCAACTAGTCATGTCAGTTCTTTACAGCTTGGTTCAATTCTGTATGGGGCTCTTTTTTTTATCTTGCCTAAGAAGGTGATCAAAGAGATTGAGAAGCTCTGTAGTGAATTCTTATGTGGTGTAGGAGCTGAAGGGAAAAAGAGAGCAGTGGCATCTTGGGGAAAGATATGTTATCCTAAAAAAGAAGGGGGTTTAGGTCTTCGAGATCTTTATACTTTGAACTAGGTTTTGTTGTAAGGCACATCTGGAACTTACTGACCAAGCAATTATCATTGTTATTTGCCTAGATTAAGGAATATTAACTACATAATTCAAATCCCTGGACAACCAACTGCAAAACTGGTTCTTGGCTATGGCTGTAAATACTAAACCTCGGGGAGAAGGCGTAGAGTTATATTGAAGTGAAAGATGGAAGTTGTTGTTGGAATTAGAAAGCACCGAAGAAATTCTCTGTAAAGCTGGTTTGGGAACAATTCAGACCCAAATCAACTGTGATACCTTTGTATAATCTGCTCTGAAAAGGTGTTGTGATCCCCAGGAATCAATTCCTGACCTGTCTAATTATAAGAGGGTTTGTCACAATTGTGATAAACTATTATCATAGGTTATCAGGGTGCTTTTACATGTGTTTGTTGTGACAGTGGTGGAAACACACAATCATCGGTTCTCAGAATGCAACAAATATAAAGAACTCTATGAGGCTTTGTTTTCTAAATTTTCAAGCAGAAGTCCCTCCATTGTCCGACTGTCTGAACTTCAGAGGGGCAGTTGATTCATTTTTTGGATCATCTGCATATTCTAAAGCTGGGAGGATCCTCTGGCAGTCTCTCTTCAGCATTCAGCAGCATGTGGAGGGAAAGGTTTGCAGTTAAGAATGGAAGACAAGTAACAAGTGTGATTGATTCAATAAGACAAATGAAAAATGATCTAGGGTGCGTTTGGATATGTGTATTTGGAAATTTGATAAAAAGTTCCAGAAATTTTGATGGTAAAATTACATTTTGGTACCTTTATATGTTTTGTCTCACACTATAGTACCTAAACTTATAAAATTTTACAAATTGGTCCAATCTTTTGTTATGAGGTATTTCAAATCACTAATTGTTGAAGTGTATTTGAAGTTGACAAGTAATAGTCTAGATATGTATTTGGAAATCACCCTATGAATTTGGCACCACTCCAAATACTTGTTGAAGTGTATTTGAAATTGACAAGTAATAGTCTAGATATGTATTTGGAAATCACCCTATGAATTTGGCACCACTCCAAATACAAAATGTAATTCATATCCAAACACATGATTTGACATTTAGAAATCCAAATCACAAATACCAAATTCAAATCACTCTATCCAAACACACCCCTACTGGTTTTGTGTAGCAGTGAGGAAGTCGAAAGTTTCTTACAGTTGGGTTGGCTCTTTTTACTTGCCTCCATTGTTTTTAAATTGGTAGATAAGGTCTAGTCGAGTAAACCCTTTTTGATGAAATAATAGAACGAACCATTCATAAGAAAATGTTGTGGGAAAAAAATTAGTAATTTGCAATAACTAGAAAGGAGTCGTCATTTCGTATTTTCATTGGAACCAAATAATTCATTTCTTTTTCGTGGACAAATTAGTTTTTTTTTTCATTGCACCCCGCCTAAATATCAAAAATTGTGAAACCGTACTGGAAATATATCATTATAATCAATTATAGGGTATTTTGTACTAAAACCATGGTTCAAATATTTTCTACCGTCAAAATCTTCTACCGATTAACTTTGATATTCGATATTTCTGATATGACCAACCGATACAGTAGGATTTCTCAAACATTTAAAAACTCATAAAAATATAGGAAGCAAACCAACGAGCCTTATGATCACATTGATTTGCGAAACCCCCAATCTAAAAGCAACGAGCCCACTGTGAACCGTCGGTTGAAGAGGGTAGTACAGCTTTATTATCTTAGACTATGAAATTGCCCATAATTGACAAGAAGAGCACCTATATTTGGGCCATCTTTTAAACCCATTACCTAACAACAGGACACATGTTTTTAATTCCTTCACGTACGCGATGTGACCATACCTCTCCTTCATTCATTGCGAATCGTACATCTGTAGAGATCCAGAAAGCCAACAGCCTGCGTTTTTGCATGCTTGAGATCTCCCCCTATAAATAGTGGCCAGCAGCAGGTGGTTTTTCAACACAACACAACCAGAATAGAACTTGTTCAAGCAAATTGGATCAAAAAATGCAGGCCAAGGCTCCCACTTATGACGACAAGCTGATTCAACACTATGTTCCAACTTTCGTCATGCTCCCAGTGAGTAACCATGATGATCACTCTCCTACTTAAACTTAATTAACCACTTGTGTCTAACAAATTGATGGAATGTCACATTTTTTGGTTGATCAGTTGGGAGTAGTTACCGCTGAGAATGTGTTTGAGAACAAGGATAAGCTGGAGAAGCAACTGAAGGAGCTCAAGGCCGCGGCGGGGATCGACGGGGTCATGGTGGATGTATGGTGGGGGATCATCGAAGCCAAAGGCCCCAAGCAATACGACTGGAGCGGTTACAGGGAGCTGTTCCTGCTGCTCAAGGAGCTGGACCTCAAAATCCAAGCCATCATGTCGTTTCATCAGTGTGGTGGCAATGTTGGAGACAATGTCTTCATCCCTCTTCCTCCATGGGTGCTCAAAGTTGGGGAGACGAACCCTGATATCTTCTACACCAACAGGAGTGGTGTAAGGAACAAGGAGTATCTCTCCCTTGGCGTGGATCACATGCCCCTTTTCGCTGGCCGCACCCCTGTACAGGTGAGAACACGTTACTGCGAATCGTTGTCATGTTCATCGTCCAACTTGATTGGTGTGTAGTTAATTCGCACTATGCGCGCAGATTTATGGTGATTACATGAAGAGCTTCAGGGAGAGCATGGCGGATTTCTTTGAATTGGGGCTGATAATCGACATTGAAGTTGGGCTTGGTCCTGCTGGGGAGCTCAGATACCCTTCTTACCCTGAAACACAAGGATGGGTTTTCCCTGGGATTGGAGAATTTCAGGTGACACATACAATCAAAACCAACCAGTTCATTGATGTCCTAAACATAAACAATCTACAATCATACTAATGTTCTTACTGCAAATTTATACGGTCCAGTGCTATGACAAGTACCTGGCAGCAGATTTCAAAGCTGCTGCAGCAAAAGCAGGGCACCCTGAGTGGGAATTGCCTGATGATGCAGGGGAATACAACAATACACCTGACCAAACACCCTTCTTCAGATCGAACAACGGCACTTACCTCGCCGAGAAGGGCAAGTTTTTCCTAACCTGGTACTCCACCAAGTTGCTGCTCCATGGCGACGACATCATCGATGAAGCCAACAAGGCCTTCCTGGGCTGCAAGGTCAAATTGGCAGCTAAGGTAACATCACATACAAGTTGTCCAATATTACTAATAATCTGTCACACACCAAAATTTTATGTTCCTGATTGCAGGTTTCAGGAATCCACTGGTGGTACACTGATCCAAGCCACGCCGCGGAGCTCACAGCAGGCTACTACAACTTGCCCGATCGAGATGGATACCGTCCTGTCGCAAGGATGCTGTCTAGGCACTATGGGGTTCTCAACTTCACTTGCCTGGAAATGAGGAACTCCGAGCAGTCTGCTGATGCCAAAAGTGCACCTCAGGAACTCGTTCAGATGGTGCATTTCACACCATTCCGATTTTTGTCACCAAAAGAAATCGATTTTTTGAGTATGATGATATGATCAATTAATAACGCAGGTATTGAGCGACGGATGGAAGGAAGGGATCGAGGTGGCGGGAGAGAATGCCCTGGCCAGGTACGACGCAAATGGCTACAATCAGATCCTTCTCAACGCGAGGCCTAATGGCGTCCGACCGGCCAAGGAAGGAGAGAAGAAGCTGAGGATGTATGGTGTCACAATCCTTCGGTTGACGGATGATCTTATGATTCCTAACAACTTTGATTTGTTCAAGAAGTTCGTCAGGAAAATGCATGCTGATCAGGTAAGAACAATTCTCGCACACCGAGTCGTTTTCTTGATGATATTCGGAAGTTATTTGGTATTCGGGATGTCGGGGATTTTGTTATTGGTAATTCTGATATTACGGTATTTGATAATTGCTAGGAATACTGTGGGGAAGTGAGCAAGTACGGGCATGAGATTGGGGCACTGAAGCGATCGAAGCCAAAGGCGAGGCTGGAAGAGCAGTTGGTGGAGGCTACGAAGCCATCGCCGGCGTTCCCTTGGGATGGCGAAACCGATATGCCGGTGGCATGATTAATAAGACTACTGAAGAAAGTTGTGTCTCTATGTTTTGGACCGATCACTGTGGCAAGGCTGGAATGATTGATCAATTTGAAACGCCCTATTGTTTGGGTTGTCAATTTCATCAATTGTATTATTAAATAAAGGCCAGAGACCATGGTCCACATAATAAAATGAGCTTTTTATTATTATAGCTCTAAGACGTCTAGCTTGATTATGTGATATTTTGAATCAAAATGTTGTATTGTTTTGGTATGTGGCATATTATTTTTTATGTCTGTTTGGAATGTGGTAATTGAGTCTAATTGTCTTGTTTAATAAAACATTTACATGTTTTCATATTTCACCACTTAAATAAAGTAAAGATGAGTGAGTTAATTAAAATGTCTATGAAGGAGGTATTTCAGTTTACTCTGCATAATTTCAATTCTCATGGCCCCAAAATATCATAATGTACTTTTTGACTGTCAAAAGAGTTATTTTGACCAAAATTGCAAGTTTGGGTTTTTTTCTTGGTTAATACCCTAGTTTGGCCTGAAATTTAATGTAAGTAACAGTTTTGAATTTTGATCTCATTTTCAAATAAGACATTTATGACCCACTTTTGAAATTATTGGCCCGATTTGGCCTGAAACTTGTGTTGACCGTTAAAATTGACGGTCAAACATTTATTCCGTAAGTAACTCAACATTCGGTGCTGAGGTGGCACCAACATGGCTGCCACATCATTTACACATAAAAAATTTTTGGTAATCATTTACCCATTACTTATTTATGTTAAAATTAAAAAAACAATAAAATAAAAAGCAAGAAAATTAAATTGGGCTCCAATTAATCCCCACCCCATTTCCAATCCCTACCAGCGGCCACACCCATCCCTACGACCAGCTCCACCCATTTTCACCCGGCGCCCGCCGTTGCTTTGTGAACCAGCGCTGAGTTCACATAATTCAACGCCGACAGGCAAAGAAAGAAAAACCATCCGTGATCTCCATTAACAAGAACTGCGACATCAAGATCGCGAAGCACTGGAGGAAAACGAATTCCCCAATTCTCACCGCCGAATCCCTCTTCTTCCTCTCCACATTCGTCGCCACCACCATCGCTGCGATCGACATCACAATGCCGACCAGGATCCGCTTTGCGATAGTTAGTCTCAGGGGCTCCCCTGTTACTCGCTTCGCCAGAGGATTCAACATCTTCTCGTAGGCCACAATCCATGAATTTTGCATGGCTTGGAGTCGGGATTTGTTTCTCTTGGAAAGGCAGGGAATCGACGAGTGCGGGGGCTTGGATTTTGGATTTTCTGGGCCTTCACCGGAGAGGGATCCGCCCACGGAGGAGACCCAGCGGAGAGGGCATACCAAGCGGCGATCGAGGAGAGATGTCGAGGCGGTGGCCGAAAGGGAGAAGGATGGGACAAAGGTCGAGAAAGGGAGGAAGAATTTGGTTTGGAGGCGTAGTTGACGATGATAAGGAGGCGGCGGTGTTGATTTAGATTTAGGGATTGGTTGGGGTTTGGGGATTTTGGGTAAGAGGGATTTCTTTGTTAATTTTTATTTTATTTGAATTATAAAATTAAAATAATATTATTTAATGATGTGGCATGCCACATAGCTATTTTTTTGCTAAGTCACTAACGAAATAGTGTTTGACAGTCAATATTAACAGTCAACACAATTTTGAGGCCAAATCTCTCATATAATTTCAAAAGTGGATCATAAATGTCTTATTTGAAAAATGGGGCCAAAACTGTCCCTTACGCTAAACTTCGGGCCAAACTAGGGTATTAACCCTTTCTTCTTTTATATTTCTTTCAATTTTACTTGTCAAATTGTAATTGATGGGTGAATTGAATAGATTTGCGGTATATTGTGGTCTAATTTTGGTAATATGAATACTCAATTGTTGGACTGCATTTCTTGTTTTGGTCCATCTAACTCATTTGATACTTTTGATAAACTCAATTTGATGCAAAAGGACCTTTCAGATATAATGATAATCAAGAACGATCTTCAGTATATGAAATTTCGTTGTAAACATGACATTGTGGATTTTATGAGTTAAATTTTATATTATTTAAACATAATTTTTTATTTGTTATTATATTTTATGGACGATGTTGACAAATTGAATTCATCGCTAAGATGGTTTCCGGGCCAGGGCAAATTATGGAGCACAAAGCCAAGCGATTGCCTGCGCAAATTAGGGGATGAATTTAACAAAATATTGCCATCGAATGTGAGAGATTCATGATTTATACGTAACAATTCAAAATTTTCTGACAAAATATGTTTTAATGTGAAATTGAAGAGTTCTCATAAAAATTATGAAGTTAAACTTACTTGTGTGGAGCAATGTAGAGAAGGATGACCTCTCGAGAAGTCATCATGATGCACTTTAAAAGAGAAATCGAGTGGAATAGACCCAATACGAACAATATCTTGGTAAGAAAGAAGGTTAGGATGATACAAATGGTATTATATTCTCTTCGCGTCTTTGAGTCCCAATACGATGTATGTAACATCTTAGGCAAATCTCATGTCGACAAAACATAGGATATATATCCATAATTCAGTAGGGAACCATCCAATCTTAAGGGACAAAACACATTTTGGGATGATTCAGAAGCATTCGTATAAGATATTCAAAGTTAAACGTGCTTACTATACAAATAATTGACTTCTCAAGAATTCACTATAATGCACACAAAAAAAACGTGCAGAGATAGTGTAATCCTAATATTGAGAAAGAGAACTAGGGTTCGTCAGAGAGACGAAGGTAAAGAGAAAAGAGAACGATGGAAATGTTTCAGAGTGAAGAAGAATCTTGATCTTCTTCTGGGTATAAGCAGATTGAAAAGATTGGGCCCAGAAATTGGATTAGCGGCCCATGGACTAGATAGACAAGAGCCCGCTTATTTCTTATTTCTGTAGCCCATAAGTTAAGCCTGCTCACTTCAGTTGGAACTCGTCTTCAACCTTGAGACGAGACTAGTTCCAGAAGCAGGGGAAATGAGAAAACAGAGACAGAAGCAGAAGGAGAAGTTTAGTTCGTGCAGCAGGAAAAGAAAGAACACGGCCAAGTTAACGAGGTTCCCCAAGCTACGGGTACGTCCTCGTCCTAGACTCAGTACTTTACTGAGATCTAGGAGACTCTTTTTATTTGATTATTTTCCTATCAAGCAGCTTGACACAAACGAAGACTCGAAGAAAGTACAAGAGAAGTATTTCAGCCCGGATCCCTATCCCTGACCCGTTATACCGTTAATCCTTCAGACCCTATTCCTCTGAGGATTAACCCAGATTGTAAGCAGCCCTTTTCCACCCTTACAAAAAGTACTTTCATAGATGCAGAGCACCACTGTATATATAGCCAATGGCAAGCTTTTGACCGTTGCACTGAGAAATCAAACATAGACTAGACTTGGTAATTCTGTGCTGTCACTGACTGTCTTCTTTCCTCTTTTGACGCAGCTCTGATTTGGTAACTTGGTTCTACAATCTCCCCTTAAATCAGAGATTCCCAATTGCCTGCAAAATGAAGAGGCCTTCTCTCGACCAAACTTATGAAAGAAATACTAAGGAAGAATTAAGCATAAAAGTTCAATCACACAGAATCCAGCAATTATCCAAAACAATCATCCAGCAAAAACCACACAGAATCCAGCAATCATCCAAAACAATCATCCAGCAAAAACCAAAGTCAGAACCACCAACCGAAATAAAAAAGCTCCAAAGATCGACAGTACTAAAAAAAAGACAAGAGTAGCGAGATGTCTGATAAAGTGCTTTTAGGCGCTGTCACCGTCAGCATCAGATCCATATTCTAGCAGAGCTTGGAGGGATTCGACAAAGGGCTCCAGTCCAGAGTCATCGCTGCTGCTGCTATCTCCGCTGCTGCTGACCCAGATGACGTCCTCCCCTTCAACAGCATCCTCCCCTTCAATTGCAATCTCCAGTGCATCCAGAACAGCACCCGCCGGTGGGAACAGAGAGGGTGTGATGGTGATAAATGGTGAGAGGTGGATACGAAGCTCGAGGAGCAGAGAGGTGACCAGAGGACCCAAGGCAAATGGACCAGTAAAGGAGGCATCACTGGATCGCATAAGACTGCCAAAACACTAAATGAGCATAATCTAGGGGGACTCCATGAACAGCATGGGATATGATCCAAAGATCGACCGGAAGAACAAGGTTCAAGGAGTCAGCACGAGGGACAAAGACTCGAGTGATGCAGTAATGCAGCATCCGAAGAGAGGGCAGCAGAGAGGAGACAGGCATAATATGGTTGGGGGCTGGCAACACACCGGTGAGCTGATGAAATTCTTCAGCATATTGAAAGGCAAACAGTTCCAACTCAGAGGCATCAGCCAGAGCTTCTCCAACTCGAGGGATATGAAGCGTATCCGACAGATCATCGAGAGGGAGAGTGAGCAGATGGCCAAAAACAATAGTAGAGAAGGAACGAGAGGCAAGACCGGGTGAGCGAAAGTTTGAGAAGAAGTAGCGGACTAAATCCGGACAGACCAAGGAGGAAAAAGGGTGATCAAGCAGAAACTCCCAACCCAAGTTTTGAATGAACCTGTGCACATCAAGTCCCAGTTCCACTAGTTCAGGAAAGGGAATGTGATATGAGGCCAGAAAAGGACGAGAGGCAAAATTTTGAAGGTGACGATGGTAGTTAACAGGGATAGGCTCGAAGAAAAGAGTGCCAGTGTAGGTGATTGCGAACACCATGTTTAGGAGAAGGGCAAAGACAACGATACGAGGGATGAAGGGATAGGAACAGTCAAGACCCGGGTTAAATACTAGAGAACAAAACAAGGAAGGGAAAGACACTCAATGCAGTAAATCAAAGAGTACGAAATTGCAGAAAGAATCATAAACAGTTAATGCTACGCCAGACACACCCAGAAAACCAAGAAGAAAAGAAAGGAAAATAAAAACGCAAAAAATAAAAGAAAAGGAAACCAAGAGGAAAACTTACCTTCCTATCATCTCGATTAGAGATGATAAAGATCTCAACCCGATCTCAAGACACAAAAAGGTAAAACGATCAGCAGCCAAAGGTTTGGTAAAAAGATCTGCTATTTGAAACTCAGAGGGTATGTATTGCAGCGAAATCAAATTGTCATGAACAAGATCTCGAATAAAGTGATATTTCACCTCTATATGTTTAGTGCGAGAGTGTTGAACCGGGTTCTTAGCCATACTAATGGCACTGGTGTTATCACAAAATAGAGGTACTGAAGAAACATTATGCCCATAATCAGTGAGCTGATTTTTGAGCCATAATAGCTGAGTACACGAGCTACCAGCTGCAATGTACTCTGCCTCCGCTGTTGACAGAGCAACAGCACCCTGTTTCTTACAGGACCAAGACACAAGGGAAAGGCCTACCAACTGACAACTACCAGTAGTACTTCTACGGTCAGTAAGGCTACCAGCAAAATCTGAATCGCAATAACCCATTAGATCAAACAATTCTTGCTGACCATACCAAAGACCTACATCTGATGTCCCTTTAATATATCTAAAGATGCGTTTAACAGCAGTGAGATGACTTTCTTTAGGTTGACATTGAAAACGAGCACATAAGCACACACTATACTGGATATCTGGTCTGCTAGCAGTTAAGTAAAGAAGAGAGCCGATCATGCCTCGATAAAGGGTTTCATCTACTGGAGTTCCAGCTTCATCCTTGTCCAGTTTAATATTGGTTGCCATAGGCGTGGGACTGGTATTGAGGGCAGTCATATCGAATTTGCTTAACATGCTAGAGATGTATTTGGATTGATTGATAAAAATGCCACTAGATGTTTGCTTAACTTGTAGACCTAAGAAGAATTTTAATTCGCCCATCATGCTCATTTCAAACACATTTGTCATGGACTCACAGAACTCTGAGCATAGTTTTTCATTTGTGGATCCAAACACAATGTCGTCAACATAAATCTGAACAAGTAAGAGATCACCTGAAACCTTTTTAATGAAGAGAGTTTTATCAACAGCTCCCTGTGTGAAGTTTTCTTGCTTAAGATATGAAGTTAGGCGTTCATACCAGGCACGAGGGGCCTGTTTGAGCCCATATAGTGCTTTATTAAGCTTAAAAACATAATCAGGGAACTGATGATCAGTAAAACCAGGCGGTTGTTCAACATAGACATCCTCCTGAATGACTCCATTTAAAAAAGCACTTTTAACGTCCATTTGAAAGAGTTTAAATTTCATATAACTGGCAAAAGCACATAGCAATCGGATTGATTCAAGACGCGCCACAGGGGCAAAAGTTTCATCGTAGTCAATACCTTCCTCTTGTAAGTAACCTTGAGCCACTAATCTGGCCTTATTACGAATGATAATTCCCTCTTCATTAGATTTATTTCTAAAGACCCATTTGGTTCCTAACACATTAGTATTTTCAGGGCGAGGAACCAAGTCCCAAACACGCAGATAAGCAAATTGGTTCAGCTCTTCAACCATAGCAATAGACCAACCATCATCTTTTAGAGCTTCTCTATAGTTTTTGGGTTCTACTTGAGAAATGTAAGCATACTGACCTGGAGTGTATCTGTTTCCTCGAGTTTGGATTCCAGCATGAACATCTCCTATCACTTGTTCCACTGGATGGCGTTTCTGAATATAGGGAGGTGCTGCAGGCAGAGATTCGTTTATTGTGTCATTTTTCTGCGTCTTATCAGCCGCTTCTGCCTGAGAATTCTGATCAGCAGATGCTTGCACATTGATCTGCTCTTTGAGTGGGCCATCAACAGTAGCTTCATTATCGGATGGTTCTCTTGTCAATTCCAGTAGATCAAATGACAGTAAATCCTGTCCAGACACCTTAACACCACCATTAGAATCATTAAATTTAACATGAACTGACTCTTCCACCCTTTTTGTTCGTTTATTATACACACGATATGCCTGTCCTTTGATGGAGTATCCTAGGAAAATAGCATCATCAGACTTAGCATCGAATTTTCCAAGGTACTCTTTAGTGTTAAGAACAAAGCAGGGGCACCCAAAGGGATGGAAATAACTGATGTTGGGTGCTTTGTTTTTGAAAATCTCATAGGGAGTTTTCATTAGCCCTTTTCGGACAAGCACTCGATTTAGGATATAACATGCTGTGCTGACAGCTTCAGCCCAGAAAGATTTTGGCAGATTGTACTCAAGAAGCATTGTGCGAGCACATTCAATAATAGTGCGGTTTTTCCTCTCAACAACTCCATTTTGCTGAGGAGTGCGAGGAGCTGAAAAACTGTGAGTTATCCCAGAGTCATTACAAAGACTCTCAAACTCCTCAGACACAAACTCACCTCCATTATCACTCCTTATACTCCTAATTTGTCCTAGGTACTGTTTGACAAACACTTGGAACTTCTTTACTGCCTCATCCTTATGAGCAAGAAAGAAAACCCAAGTGTATCGTGAATAATCATCTACCAGAACCAACACATAGTTTTTACCTCCCAGACTAGTTACATTGCATGGTCCAAATAGGTCCATGTGAATTAACTCAAACATTTGATGAGAGGTTATATCAGTTTTGGGTCTGAAAGTTTTCTTAGTGTGTTTTCCAGCAATGCATGCCTCACAAAAGAAATCAGTTTTCTGTTTCAACATAGGGACACCTCTGACACATTCTGATTTGGATAAGCTAACAAGTTTTGGTAAACTGATGTGTCCCATCTTGCGATGCCACAACAGCTCTTGTTGGTATGAAGCAACAAAACACATTTCATGAAAGGCTTCAAGGTTATGCAGGTCTATGATATACATATTGTTTACTCGACTGCCAACAAGCAGAACCTTGTTGTCGTTTATCCTTTCAACTAAACAGGCATCAGATTTAAAGATTACTCGATTTCCATTACTGCACAGTTGACTTATTGATAAGAGATTGTGTTTTAGACCTTTCACAAGCAGCACATCATGAAAAGTAGGGTAGGGGGATCCTCCTATAGTACCAATTCCCACGATATTACCACAACCATTGTCACCAAACATAACTTTACCACCATCTTTAGATGTTAGAGAGGAGAATAGTTCTTTCTTAGCAGACATGTGGTGTGAGCACCCGCTGTCTAAATACCATTTATGATCATTTTCATCTGAAATGTAGTCTTTTGATTGATTTGTGCTTGCCATGAAGGCTTCTTCATCTACTGAGTTTTCTCCCTCAGACTCATAATCACTCCATGATGCCTTCATTGCCCTTTCCTTAGCTTTCAGGGTTAATGGACAGTTTGCCCGAATATGCCCATTTTTGCCACACTTGTAACAGGCTTGAGGATCTTTCTCCTGTGTACCTGTCTCAAATTTTCTGGTCTGCTGATGAGGCAGCCTAGCTTGAGAATAATTATTAGTGTAATCCTGACCTTGCTTACGTAATTCATCATATCTCATTCTTCTTTCATTTTTGTATTTGAGCATGCGATGAAACCGTTTGCTTACAAGAGCAAACTCTTTGTTGAAGTCTGAATCTGAATCACTGTCAGATTCATGAGCTACCACTTTGGATTTAAAAGCTAAGTTTTTCTTCCTTTTATCATCGTCCTGATTAACTTGTCTAATCACATTTTCATGACTTAACAAGGACCCTATTAACTCATTTATGGGTAAGATGGCTAGATTTTTTGCTTCCTCGATTGCAGTACGCTTTGGCAACCATTCCTTAGGTAAAGACCTAAGAATCTTCCTATTGAGATCTTTAGTTTGAAAAGTTCTTCCTAATCCCTTTAATTTGTTAATTAGGACGGTGAATCGTGAGTACATTTCATGAATGCTTTCGTTATTCAACATCCCAAATGCCTCATATTCATGAACTAATAGATCAATACGAGATTCTCTAATATTTGACGTACCTTCGTATGTGCTTTCTAGGGCCATCCAGATTTCTCTGGCTGTCTCACAGTTCTCGACTTGGTCAGCTTCATCTGGGTTCATGGCTGATTGGAGCACATGCATCGCCCGTTGATTTAGCTGCGCACTTTTCTTCTGAGCAGCAGACCATAGATGCTGCTCCTCTACCTTAGCATCGATTGGCCCATCCTGCACAATTAACCACAAATCCTCATCAATACCCCACATAAACTGTTTC